TAATTATCCAACGGTTCATATAACGAAATCTTTCTAAGATCATTTGCCATAGGTGTGGTAAAAATTTTTTAATTTTTGAGAAAAAAAAATTTTAAAATTGATCGGCGGTGTTGATTTTTAGGAATTTAAGGGATCATTACTAAAATGAGGAAGACGCAAAACCTATATATACATGCATTTCGGGAGTTTTAATATTTCCAGATCATAAATTCGGTTTTACCACGATTGCTCGAATGTCAATTTCCCGAATATACCTTTTCCCGAAGTCCACTCGCCCGAATGCAAATTTCCCGAATTGGACATTTTACCGAAAAGTCCAATTTCTCGAATGTCAACTTCCCGAAACCCAATTTCCAGAATTGCATAAAATATTCATTTTCACGAACATCTAATTTCACGAATTCTAATATCCCGAATGGACATTTTCCCGAATTGACCAAATTTTGATACTCTGAATGAAATCCGCAATGTACAAATGTTTTCAGAAACCGTAGATCCACTACAATGGCGGAAGGTAATTATATTTATTAATTATTAATTTAAGAAAGATGATTCGAGAATATGGGCATTCGTTATATTGGGATTCGGGAAATTGGGTGTTCGGGATATGGGGATTCGGAAAATTGGGTGTTCGGGATGTTAGAATTCGTGAAATTGGAAATTTGATTCGGGAAAATATCTATTCAGGAAATCAGAATTATGGAAATTGGCATTCGGGAACTTGTCTGATAAGGCATAAATTCGGGGGATCATGGGGGAATAATTTATAGTATAGTATATGATGTGTGCGGATATTAAAAAAGCGCTTTCGTTTTTTTTTCCATATTTATAAATTATATGATGTCAGTATGATGCACATTAGTTAATGATCATCCTTGAATATATCCAAAATAGAAATGACGTTTAAATCATGAAAATTTTATTCGGTCTTATTATATCTCTACTAATGACTTTCTTCCTCCCGGATGATTCCCATAGCATTTGGATTTCAAGTCATAAAAGGGACCTTACCCATGCAAAGACTATGAAAACGTTAATTCAAAGGTCAACAACTAGATTGACGCATAGAGAGGTATTATTCACCTTTTTTTCTCTTGTGGTATTGATACAGTATATTCATTTGGTTAAATCCGAAATATCAATCACATTACTAATTATACTATGCAATTTCCATTTGTAGCCAGTCCAATAAACGTAATTGACATCATTTTCTAACTATACGACGTGATCTTTATTATTATTTACTAATAAAATGTTCTATTTGCACATTTAGACTAAGGGCGTCGGATGTGCGACTTGCGCAGTTGTGATTTTTTTATTTTATATTTTGTGTTATGGTATCGTTGACTGTTAAAAATTATTAATGTTATATTTTTACTCGCGCAGGGATCGGATAAAAAATGGTGTGATAATGGAGATCATTGCTGCGGCTTGGTAATATTTCTTTATTTAACCACGAAACTGTTGAGATATTAAATTATTGACGTGTTTAGTGTATGTTAGAACGATAAATGTCTTCCAGGCGGTTGTTTACCTCCGATAATTAACCCTACGTTCTTACATCCAATGTGAAATTATGTAAAATATTAACTTTAGAAAAATCACTTTAATTTGTTGAACGTTCAAGGGTGCAGACGACTGTGGAAATAGCTACTACTGTGATAAGGCAACCTCCCACTTATTATAAGGTATCATTAAGATACCAAATTATTACTAACAATATGCATTGTAACATGGGGACAAATGTACTTCGGGTGGTGGTTGTATACCTTTGGTAATGGACGTCATTTCTTCTTTCTTACATATTGATTCAATTATTATTTCTATAACATGTTCTATTTGTTGCACATTAGAATGCGGAAAAATGTCCAAATGGCGGCTACTGTGATAAGGTAATGTGCTTTACTTTCTCATCCTATTTTAAAACAATAAGTGTAGCTCATCTTGCTTTATATTTCATCTATCTGTACAGGGCGAAAGATGTGCTTCAGGAGATACTTGTTTGCCTGCGGTAATATACTT